TCCCCAAGCCAGCGCTGCATGGGGTTGTTGTGGCCGAAGTGCAGGACCCAGCACTTGGCCTTGCTGAATCTCATACAGTTGGCCTTGGCCCATCGATCCAGCCTGTCCAGATCCCTCTGTAGAGCCTAGGCTCCTTTAGTCTCCTTTCTTCGGGTTTTTTTCGTTGGTTTGTTTGCTTGTTTTTAATTTTTTTTCTTTCTTTTTATTTAACTACATATAGGGATGACAGCAAAGAATGCCGTGTCAAGGAATTGCTTGCACTTAAGGCAAACCTCTCACTTGCTTCATTGTAATTCTGAATCTACTGAAGTAGGGTCTCAAAACCTTTAAGGAGTTCGGTACCTGTCTCAACAAGACCAGCAACATACACTGCTAGAACAAGACTTGGGGTTGTGTGAGACAAAAGTAGTGTGCCTCTTGATAAACATGAGTAGCAGCTCTCAGGGCACTGTAAAAGGGTGGGGGAGACAAAATAGAAAGAGATGAAGTCCCACACTGGATCAGCTTTGAGGAGGAAACTTGGGACAATGGTAATTAATGACAGAATATTATGCAATAAGGTGAGTCACAAATGCACATTTTATTAATGTGCCAAACAGGAGGAGTGACAAATGAGATTGCATGATAGGCCGGGTGACTAGTTCGTTCTCTCCTTGTTTCATGGCTTCATGCACTGGACCCAATGCTATGCACGTGCCGTATGATTTTCTAAGTACAACTAAAATACATGTAGGTTGATGTGAAGCAGAAGACAATTTCGTGACACTGCTGAGCATGCCTAGCAAAGAAGAGATCTTGGTTGCTATGCGGAAATATTTTCCATATTTTCTCTTTGTCTATGATTCTGACTATGATCTCTGTATGAACACGGGCGAGTAAGTCATTCTTTTTCTCTGCTTTCAATAGACTATTTATAAAGACATTCATTATCATTCACTATCTTCTTTCTGAACATGATTTTGATAATAGAAGGAAACTTGTTTTAAATATTTCTTTTCCTAGGGACTTTTTGACCAGCTGAGATCCAATGGAATTTCACATAGAAGAGACACAGAAGGAGA